AATTCCCCTCTAATCCTATTTTGTTGAGTGCTTTAATCATGAAAGGGTGTTGAATTTTATCAAAGGCTGAAAAAGTAGTTTCAAGAAGACAAAGCAGTGTTATAATGAAATGCGCAAAGAGTCGGAGTTAGAAAACCATAAAGTTTCTCTTGGCACATCTTAAGCTGCAAGCGAACAGCCAAGCATTAAGCTGTCACACTGAAAAGTCGAAGAACAAAATACGGAATAATCAGGAAGGATCAAAAGAAGTTGAAAGTAACACATGAAGTCACTGTAGTGAAAAGAACTAGCAGGTGGACACTGAACCACTTGAGGAAGTAGCCGATGTAAATTCTCTGTTTTGTTTATAAACCTAAGCAAGCATTGCAAAATCGTGGGCAGGCGCAGAAGCCTCCAGAAAGTCGATAACCAGAAAGTGGCCCAGAACACTCGCTGTCACCTCTCCAGCCATGCAGGAAGGAAGCGCCCGCCAGAACCTAACCGTGTTCGTTCGGGTTTCTGTGACCCAAGCCCTAAATCCCCGAGGCGGAAACGGCCCGCAGCTGTTCCCCTGAACTTCATGCAGCAATCTGGTCAGCTGAGCCGCGCTGAGACCCTCCGGTCGCCCCTGTGACCCCAAACCTTCCTTCTACAAAGCTGACATACAGAAACACCAAGCGGAAACGGCTTGGGGCGGGGCCTCCGTGGGGGCGGTGCTGCGCAGGCGCGATCGGACTCCCAGCTCTCAGCGCCGGACCAGATAGACGTGGGGACAAGCCGGGGTCCGCTTCCGGATTCCGCGTCCGCAGCGCCGGACCAGATAGACGTGGGGACAGCCTGGGGTCCGCTTCCGGATTCCGGGTCCGCAGTTTGGGGGCCGATTCCACATTCGACGTCCTCAGCTGTGCTGGACTGAGCTGTGTGTGGTGCCAGCCTGGGGGACTGGATTCGGGGTCTGCAGCACTGGACCAGACGATGTGACAGCCCCGTGGGGAGGGGGCTGCACTTCCGTATTCGGGGTCCTCGGCTGCAGTGCGCAGGGGGTGTGGACCAGCTCCTTACTGACAGCTAGCTGCCTGCATCTCTGCCTTGTCCGGGCGGCGCCTGTGGTGGTGCCCTCACTCCTTGGAGTCCTGCAGTGAGAGTGGCCAGGATGCTGTCCGAGATCAGTAAGTTCAGATCTAGCCCTGAACTCCCTCCGTCATTGGTCGCAGCAGGAAGTTTGTTAGTCTGACAGGAACCCCTGGTGACAGTAGAGTGCAGCTAGACCAGTTAGGGACGAGGGGGGATAGTCTTCTATGACCTTGAGTCCGGGGGTCGCCCAGAAGTTGGGCACTGGGTTCCCATGGGCCGTGGCTAATCAGGCAGTAGTGGAGCCCCTGCACTCCTGATAAATCACCCACACGCCTCCCCCGACACCACCACACACACGTCAGTCGGTGGAGTCAAGTGAGCTGCGTTGCAATCCCAATGGCACAGGTTTGCCTTCACCAGTTGCTTTGTGAGAAAGTACTGCCTCTGAAAACCTTTGGAGGGTTGGCTATGAGTAGGTTTGACCACACAAAACGACAGGACTGCTCAGAGAGCCCTTGTGCCCTCCCCTCCCTGCTTGAGAGGACCGCAGGGCTTGTTCTGACCCTGAAGTGTCTGTTGCTTTTGTGTTTCCGCAGAAGTTTTCAACGGTGTCCCCTCGCTGGACAGGAGTGTCTCTCAGAACATCAGCAGGGATCCTAATGGCCACAATTATCTTTACACTGATGGGAAATACATCATTCTGAGGAACACAGAGGTCAGTTACAACCTCTTTGCCTCAAGAGTACAGTTCCCTATTAGGGTTCTGCCCGTGGGGATCTTAATTCGCCTTCCCTTCCTATCCCCCCGCAGATCAAGGGCTGGGCTGGGTGAGCGTGTCATGCTCCCTCTCCTCCTGGAAACTGAATCCAGGAGTCAGGAGGGTCGCCTCAGTTCACCCAGTGCTTTTGCTGTAGAACTGTGGCCTACTTAAGATCTTTTTTATTTCTTTGTTATTATATTGCAAGTTGCTTTCTGATTTATTTCTGTCGAGACAACTTGATATTCAAAAGTAAAATTGCTGAATACAAAAATATACTTTCATATTTTCAGTTAGCTCACATTTTCTTTGTAACTTAATTTTTGTTAGCAAAACTAGACTTTAAAAATTTTTTAAAACATTTACATTGATTCGTTGTTGCACATTTTCCTTCCTACCCACGCCTCCAGTTCGCTTTTCTCTTTAAAAAAAAATTCTTTCATTGTTGCACATTTCCCTTCCTACCCCCAGTACACTTTGCTATGCAGCTCTTATTCTGGACTGTTGTCATGCAAATAATACCTACTCATATATCCTTTTAAACGATTCTTTCCATCAACCTGCTTCAATGCAATGTACGTTATCCCCTCTTTTTTAAGTTTCTCCCCAATCCCTGTGCCAGTCCTGTTTTATAACAAGGGCATTATACAGTATTTGTCCTTTTAATATTTTATGAGTTCCTTGTTTTTCAGTGCTGTATAGTATTCCATTGTGGGAATATACCACAGCTTCTCTATCCAGTGGTTAAATGAATTTGAGTGTCATGCTTGCTTGCTCAGGGACCATGCTAATCTTCTTTGTATCATTCTAGTTTTAGTATATGTGCTGCCCAGTTGAGCACATAGCTTTATCTTTTAAATGATGGTGCAGAATTAGGATCAGCATCTTCCACCATCCCCATGACACTAGCTGTTCCTCCAGTAACACTTGTTTATGTCTTTCTTTGGTTTAATAATTTATTACAATGGCCACACAAGATCATAATCACAATTTTGGCCACTTCAGGGGAAGTAAATGACTATAATTCAGAATCAAGATTACCTCAAATACTGTCCTTTAATAAGGACAGCCTCTCCCTTCATGGCTTCATGCACAAGTGTTAGAAAGCTCTTTTAGCTCTACTGAGTTTTGAAATGCACCTCTCTCCACTAGGCCTAGACCTCACAGCATTTGACTCTACCTCTGTGGAATAGCAAACCTTGATCCTTTAGCAAATGCCCAGAGACATCCAACTCCCCCAGGTTGCCTCCTGTATTTGTCTCTAGTCTGGGAAGCCCATAATTCTCTGTCTTGCTAGTCTCTTGGTTCAGCTGCGTCTCACCTTCTTTCTGGTATTACAGCTTTCTCAGAATGAAGGCAACTGAGTGCAGAAATCTGAAGGATGCACTCTCTGCTCCTCTCATTCCCTTGATCTCCTTCTGCCTCTGGGATCATAAATTTTAACCCTAGCAGGATAGCAAAAGGAACCAATCTGCACATTAGTGGTGTGGTTCTTAGGTGATATTGAGTTGAGCAGGACTTTGTGACCCTACAAACCACAGCTCTGAACCCTGTCTTGTCCTGTGCCACCCTCACAATCTCTGACATACTTGAGTCCATTGCTGCAATCACTGTTTCAGTCTGTCTGATTGAGAGTCTCCCTCTCCTTTTTCCACTTTCTAAGCATGATGTCCCATTCCGAGGAATAATTTCTGCTAGCTACATGCCGAAAGTATGTGAGACAAAGCTTTGCCATCTTTGTCTCCAAGGAGCACTCTTGCTGCACTATCTCCAAGTCATACCTGTTTGCTCTTCTGGCAGTCTGTGGAATGTTCAGGACCACAACTCAGAGACATTAATTTTTCTTCTGGCATCTTTATTCATGTCCAGCTTTCAGATACATAGCAAGTGTAACGTTAGTATTTTATACACATTTGCATGATCCCGCCTCAAAGATATGATATGTACCTTAATACCTCTAAGGGTTTAATTAGAACCTGAACTACTGCCCTATCTATTCTAGACATTTTTGAAAGATATTCAAGCAGTATTTTGTTTGCATGTGATATTAATGGTATTGTTCATCCTACTAGGGTTAAAATGAGTTCAAGCAGGATTTAGAAGAGGCTATGGCACCAGGGATGTCATTGCTTATGTCAGATAGATTCTGGCTGAAAGTAAAGAATACCAGAAGAATGTCTATTTATTGACTATGCAAAGGTATTTGATTATGTGAATCATTACAAGTTATAGCAAACAGTAGGAAGCATAGGAATCCCAGAGCACTTAACAGTACTCATTTGAAACCTGTATCTAGACCAAGAGGCTGTTGTGCAAACAATGCAAAGGAACATTACATAGTTTAAAACTGAGAAGGGAATGCATCAGGATTGTATCTTTTCCATACCTATTCAATCTGTACACTAAGCAAATTATTTGAGAAGCTGGATTCGTGGCATCAGGATTGAAAGAAGACTCATCAATAACCTGCATTATGTAGATGACACAACCTTGCTTGCTGAAAGTCAGGAGGACTTGAAGCACTTGTTGAAGAAGATCAAAGAATACAACTTTCAATGTGGATTACATATCAATGTCAAGAAAGCAAAAATTATTACCACTGGACTGATAGGCAACATCATGATAGATGGTGATTCAAACTGTCAACAACTTCATCTTGCTTAGATCCACAGTTAACACCCTTGGTATTAACCAAAAGGAAATCAGGAGAAATATTGCACTGGGAGAGTCTGCAGCTAGGGATTTCTCCAAACTATTGAGTATTGATGTCTGTTTGAGAACTAAAGTGTGTCTGATTCAGGCCATGGTCTTTCTGGTCCCTTGTGGTGCATCTGAGATCGGGACACTGAATGAGGATGACAAAAGATAAATTGGTATCTTTGAGCTATAGTGTTGGAGGAGTGTACTAAACATTCCTTGGAGGCAAAGATGATAACGCTTCATCCCACATACTTCAGGCATGTTGCTAGGAGAGGCTATTCTTTGGAGAAGGACATGATGCTTGGAAAGACAGGGTTGGCAAAGGAAAGGAAGATCCTTAACAAGGTGGATTGACAACAGTGGCTGTCACAATGGGTTCTAGTGTGTCAGGAAGTGTGAGGATGGCGCAGCATAGTAGAGGGTTCAGATCTGTTGTTTCTAGTGTCATTAGATGACACCTAACAACAACAACTAGCTACTACCAGTGTCCCCTGCCCAGATAGGCCCATTTAAGTAAATTGTAAGCTAATACTCTTGATGTGCCATTTGATTTATTAATAAATGCTTCTGTAGGCATTGTTCATGAATGCAAGTGAAAGTAAATCCTTGACAACTGGTTGGTCCAGTTGTAAGAATTTTTATTTTATTTCAAGGTGTATTTCTCACTGGGGGCTATAATCTTTGGTTTTCATTATGAGAACTTCAATTTCTCTTCACATTCAGCACCTTAGATTTTGTTCTGCATCTCACAGGTTATTAATGAGTTTTCATCCAATCCAATTCATGAATCATTTGCATATGTCTTACACTTAAATTACTTTGAGGACAGAATACAACCCTGAAGCACATCTTTCCTGATTTTAGACTACACAGTTTATACTTACTCTGTTCAAACACCTGCCTCTTATATTACGTTCAAGGTCCTTCTGAGCACACTAAATATTCTGTAGTTCCAATTTTTCACAATATTATCTATAATTTGTTATGAGCCGCACAGTTGAATGCTTTTGTGTAGTCAGTAAAACACAGGAAAACTTTTCCTGTGCTTTCAGTCAAGATCCAGCTGACATCAGCAGTGATAGCCTTTATTCTGCAGTTTGAATTTTTTACAGTTTCCTGCAATATACTACTGCCATTTAAAAATTAATTTCAATACAATTTTACTTACATATGATATTATTTTATAATCTCTTCATGCTATTGAATTACTATTCTTTGGATTAGACACAGATATGCATCTTTTCAGACTGTTTGGCCAGATAACGGTCTTCCAGTTTTCTTGGCCCCTAGACAAATAAGCACTCGACATTGCATCCATTTGTTGAAACATCTCACTCAGTTGGTTTTCTCTCAATTTCTGGAATCTTTTTTTTTATCAATACGTTCAGTGGAACTCAGACTTACTCCTTCAATACCATTGATTCTTGAGTCTATGCTACCACCTGAAATAGTTGAACATCAACCAATTCTTTTTAGTAAAGTAACTGTGCACTCCTCACATCTTCTTTTAAGGGTGCCTACTTTGTTCATTATTTTTCCCATTGAATCTTTATATATTGCAACTCAAGGCTTCAATTATTCATTTCTTTCAGCCTGAGAAAAACTCAATATGTTTCTACTTTTTGTTTTTCTGACTCTACATCTTTGCACCTTTCATTATAATACTTAGTCTGAGTTTTCTATCACCAAAACCAACTACTATTCCTTCTTTGTTTCCAACTTTTACTTTCCACTAACTAGGAATAATCTGTTCTCTTGATTGAATGTTTGATCAATTTTAGACTACAGAATTTGAAATTATTAGTCCTTAATCTTTAGTATTATTGGCTTCTTGTTTATCTAATTGTACTTGAATGCTATTAGCACAGCTGACTTTGAGGACAGAGTTTGTTAACTGTCCTTCCAGAATGAGGTACTTTTTAAGAGGAAACCACAGAGAAGACATAGAGTAAATGGAAAACTTTTGAAGATTCCTTTCCCCCCCTCATTTCCTTTATTTTATACTTTAAATTAACTCTTTGCTGTTGGGTTAGAACCAAGTCAGAGCTGGCCTACTTGGAGGTTTTCAGAGACTCTGATGACGTGGGAGGAGATTGACCATCTTTCTTCCTGAGAGCCACTGGTGAATTTGAACTGCCATAGAGGTATTACCTTTGGGTGAGTATTACAGATCCCTCCACTCTCTGGGCTCTGACACCAGAGCTCCTTCTGATTCAGGGGTGAGGGTGGGGCTCAGTGTGTTCATTTCTTTCCTCGTACCGGATGCACTGATCCCTACTTAATACCCAACTTTGAAGAATCCCTGCTAGTCTCAGAATCTAGGGAACTTTTCTAAAAAGCAGCTATAAAGACAACTATGAAGCCATTGTA